CACTCTTTCACCTCTTCACCAACTGTATCAAGCCATCCTCTCTGCCAAGAGTCTAAAAACCTAGCCAGCCATTTGTCCATTCATAAGAGCTGACTGAGAGTCTCTGTCTGAGCATGTAAATGTGAAGGTTACTTTACCTGACGACTATATGCAAGCTGCAGCTGCAGTATGAACACTTCACATCACAAATTCAAGTGGAAATGCAAAATGTGTTTTAGCTCCAATACAGCTCAGGTCCTCTGTTGCTGAAAAGTAGTAGCAGTGTACGTCACAGCATACGGAGTGTGCCCATGGAGGCAACGGATCACACAATGCAGAATGCCAGTATGGACCCTTAGCTGCTGTTAATGCATGCATGAAAAGTCACTCTGCCATAAGTAATTCATAAAGGCAAAATACTGTGAAATTAATCTCAGAGAATGCATCTGAGGAAGACCTAATAGCCCTTCCACCTCACTCACAGACAGATGATGAGTATACACAGGAAGTGATGTCACATTTTCTCAAAGCAAACTCTGTGACTGTAACTTCTGTACAAAAGTGAATTGTTATTTTTCCCAAAGAGAAATCAGGAGCCAGAAGCTACATTTATATTACAGGGCTCAATGCTCAATATCATTTCTTCCCCAGATACAATCTTTCTGCCTAGACAGTTCACATTCATGTTTGAAGTGACCCATATCTGACAACAGTGTGAACGGATTTCTGCCCTGCAACGCCTCACATGCAACCAATAACGTTGGCATTGGAACAACAACAAAAAACTTCACATTCCCAAAAAAATGGATGACATAACGGTGCAAATATTTATCTCCTGAATGATTGCCATAGTAGGAAGGTCCGATGATGTCACTGTGCATAATAATTAGCCATGTGCTTCTGTTTGGGAGAGTGTGTAGCTTATTGTCAGAGAAACAGGTGTTTATGGGATATCTGGGTGTCATACAAATGGGCTTTGCAGTGAATTAGCTCTATCAGCAGCTATTGCTCGGAATTCTGTGGAGAGAGAGGTGTGAGAGGAGTCAGGAGTGATGGGGGCACGACAGGGATGGTTTCACAGAAGAACAGGTCTTCCAAACCTAAGGCTGCATTCCACTATCTCTGTCGGTACCTCGAAAACAATGCTGTCATGGCATAGGCAAACTGTCCCGGTCAGAAAACATCTAGCAGTTGGAAGCAGTCTAGCAGTGTATGGGCAGTGATCTGCGCCTGCATGTATGATGAGAAAAAAACATGGATGTATGGGAAAAACATCCATAAAATCCGATATGACTGTTCAGTGGATGCATGGCCAATGATCAGATATATATCAACTATAGGACCTCATATGACACTACCCCAATCTGCTTGGAAAAAAAAAATCAGATTTCTGTGTCTACACTGCTCTGAAAAAATCACATGAGGGCAAAAAAATCTAATTTCGGTCACATTCACTCGTACTGTGAACGTCGTCAAATTCAGATCAGTTGTTGGTCAGTCAGTGAAACGTTGTGCCCTCAACACCTACTGAGGTCTCATTTATACGACAACGATTTCAACGGAAAATGCTAAACTTTAGTTGCGTTTTGGCTGATCGTTTACACGACAGCGGCGTTTTGGGTGCCTGAAAACGCAACATTTTGAAAACAGGTTCCAGAGTGCAATTTTTTGGAAACGGCACCGTCTCCGTTGTCATGTAAACTTGCAATATGCAGTTCCTCTGAAAACGGAGACTTTTCACACATGCGCATTACGGTTCCAATCACTAGGCATGCGCGAGAATGTTGACCATCACAACAACAATGCTGGGCTCTGTTTGTGCTGCTCACCCTGTTGAATTTATCAACGCTTCTCCAGCAAAGTGTAGATCTGTTACTGTAGCAACTCGACATTGTGTCTTTTCTGTTTTGGTTTGTAATCACCACGTTGTAGAGGAAGGCGCTTCAGCGCAGGCGCATGCCGTGGTGTTGCTTTGCAAATTAACACTGTCACCCATTGGCCTGGCGTGCACACTACAGTGTTTCAAGTAGATTTTGCGGCTCCATGTGAACGGGGATCGTTTCAATAACGTCGTCATTTAAACTCGGAAGTTTTTTAAAACGCAAAAGACAGACTTTTCCTTTTTTAGAGAAATCATTGTCGTCTAAACAGGCCCGAGTAATGCTTCTTGCCTTGGATTAGCTGTAGCTTTCTAAAGGTGGTCAGCTAAGTTTATTTATTTAGCATGTTTTTGGATCAAACATCAGGAAGTACTTTTTATGGACAGATGTACTTTATTAAATGTCATAATGCCCATAAGCTGAAACAGCAGTATTCATTTTAAAATGGGGACAGAACTCCACAACAAGCTATAAATCACAGTTGACATACAACAGCCTTGTAAAGATAATAAAGCTACAGTAACAGTCTCACAAACTATTGTGTGTTTACACATCTTACAAACATTTATATATATTACATATTTATTTGGAGTGGTTTTTCAAGCAATCTGACAAACGTAAGTTCATCATTCACTCTCTTTTAGCTGTTTTTGATCTCCACCAACTCCTAAGAAAACATATCTGGCTTTTCATGGTAGATGGTGTGACAAACCATAAAACTGGGTGTTGTTTTCAGGCACATGTTATGACACCTGGTATTGTTTTAATGTGAGTCTGTGTGCGTGTATGACATCATTATAAAATGTGGTCCAGGTGAAACCAGCTGCACCGGGTTTGTCTGTCTGTCTGTGAACAGATTTTGTCAATTCAATAGTGTCACAGCCATGTAAGATGCATACACAAAATATCAAAATAAAGGTCAAATTAAAAGATGGGTGTGGTCAGAGCGAGTGGTTCAGAAGTAGGGAAGGAGCCATTGACACCCCACTTGAAACAACTGGCCCATATTCGTTTTACGTTAGCCCTTTTTATACTGCCTCTGCAAGGCAAGAGTTTCAAGCCATTATGCTGCCTCAACGTTCTGTATAACAGGCACAATCGCGGAATGGAGGACAGAGTTGTCTCACCTTTACACTAGCATCAGAGGTAGTAACAGCATTAAAATCACATTTGTATAAATGTGACTGCCAGCAGGACAGTATCATGGGCAACACAGGTGTGATATTGTCATGACATATATGTGCACTACCCACCGCAGGAGATTTAAAAAGTAGCTGTTAGCAGTTAGCAGCTAACTCAAAGAAGAGAAACAGCTGCTGAAAATGACTGCAAATTAGGAAAACAATGAGATTTGGGAGCTCCTTTCCCTCAGAGCAGAGGGCGAGATCAGCCGCCATATAACAGAGACAACATATGATTTTTATTGCCATGTTGATGCCATTTTTATTGTTTATAAATCCCTGTCAATGTTTAGGCTATGTATCAAACTTTAAGCCGATATTGTCTTATGTCACACCCATCACGCCTCTTTTGTGTCTGCAATGCTGGCATGCTGTGTAAAATCAAACACCTGAGCAGCATGATGGCGCTGTTGTTTGGTTCTATGTGAAAATGCAAAGAAGGCATAAAGAAGGGATGTCAAAGCCCTACAGCGCCTCCTCTGTGTAAAAAGGGCTACAGATTGCTGTATTTTGACTAGACTGATCCAAGTGCATGGTGGTCTATTGTTTAGTGAGACCTTGGCGGCATTTCCAGCTGCCAAGCTGCAGACTACTGTTTGAAGCGAAAGGACAACAAAATCAGTTGTTTTTTAGCAAGCCATTGCTGCATTTCCAGCCATGATTGACCCACTATAACCTTTTCCTAATCATAACTAAGTGGTTTATGTGCCTAAACACAACCACACATGAACCACAGCTGCAAATGTACAGACACTCTTACAAATGTTACAATATCTGTGTGCTTTGCAGAAATATATAATTGCAACATTTGGGAATTGGGTTTGTCTGTCTGCTGTTTGGTACTGTATAGTGAGTTAATCATTGAAAACAGTTGCCTTGTGCCTTGGGCTGCAGGAAACAAGGTTGATGAGAGCAGTGACAGTGTGCCAAAAGTTACAAGGAAGAGGCTGCATCATCCTGTAGCACTGACGGGAACTGAGCTGGGTGATAATTCTCTGTGGGTTTGTGATTACAAGCAACAACTCTCGCATAAAAGGTTGTAATTTAACCCACTGTTGTATATAATGATTAGTGCAGCTTTGATGTTCATGTGAATAGTGAGCACCCGCTGTGGGCTGAAAACAGAATGCTGTCATTTTCTACAACCCTACAACATATTTTTTTAATTAGGTAAGAATATGGTATTCTTGATTATTCAATGATTACACCGTACATATGGCAACAGCTGATGCTTGACCACCCTATGGGACTATGCATATTCTGAATATCTTTGAATTTCTATGAATACAAACAGGAAAAGCCATTCAAACACATTCCTATTTGTACTTTCACTCCTGCTTACCACAATAAACAAAGTTTTTTCATACAAAATAATGGTCAAATACTTGAGAAAGCAACAAATGGAATGATCTTGTTATGCTCAAAGGCGGAGGTTCAAAACATTGTTTATCAATTATCCCCACAAAGAATAAAATAAATACAGATGCTATGCCATTTTTCTCATCTTTAATTTGCTATCATGGAGAAATCTGATATAGTGGACAATGGGAGGACTTGAATTCCTTCTTGCTCACTCCAAACAAGGAGCTGTTCACAGTCTTGTCTGCACTCCTCTGTAGTGTTTTATTAGATAAAAAATAAAATCCAAGAAAACGTCTACATATAATTGACTTGGGTGTGGAGGAGGTGCAAAAACAAGGAAAAAACTTAAACTAAAAAAAAAAATTTAACTTAAAAAGCTCAATCATAAGATGAGTTGTGATATACTGAACATCAAAAATTAATTGACAGAAAATATTAGGAACACAATCTGTCAATATCTAATCTTAATATGTGCCTATATATTCTCGTGATTTTCAAGATTAAGTAAGTAATAAGGCAAACATTAAAAATGTCAGTTTATAAATTTAACTGACAGTCTTTCAAAAATGTATTGCATGCAGGATAGTAGAATATTTACCTCAGTAACAGACGCTGTGGTGTTTCTGTCTCTGGCTGAAGTCCTCTTGAAGTGCGTGGGAAATCCGCGGACTGACACCGACACCACGGTGAGGCTCAGCAGCCACAGACACGACACTGCCCTCCGCTGCATCTTTACCCTTACTGTGCTGATCAGATGCAGAATCCTCCAGCATGTATCCTCAGATTGAAGAGCAGTGATCAAACCATATCAGCGAGCAGAGACGGCAATATGAATCAAAGCGCCACACGTGCGCGTTTTCCGTGCGCTTCCTCTGCGCTGCCGCTCCGTCTTGAGCCGCTCGCTCCCCTAATTGAAATAATCCCTGCTCCGCTTTCCAATATCGGCGTGTTCATTTCATGCACATGGATGCAAAGATCAAACAATAAGATTTATTTAATACCTCAGTTAACAACTGAAGTTTTCCGTTAGTACGCCGAGCTGAAACACTTCCCGCAGTCTGCTGCAACTTCCAGCCCATCGAGCGGTGAGTAAACCATGTCCACAAGGTTTAGAGGTCCTCCTATGCTGAGGTGACATCGAGTCAGTCATCGGTCGCTCTGGTTGCTCTCCAGCTTGTAGTATTTACTTTAAAGGAGCAACCCCCCTCTGCCCTGGATGACGCAACGGAGGGAGGGTATATTACTACTACTACTACTACTACTACAGCATATAGGTTAATCAGGCAAAGTGACAAAACTAGGCACAGGACAGCAGAGAGACATCCTGAGGGATTTCAACCAGCACAGTATTCTTTACTGTTAGACTGGAGGGTCTGAATGATTTTGTATTTGTCAACCATTTCGTAATTTATTTCACTCTTTTTTTTTCTGTACAGAAACCTACAATACTTGCAAGCAGCACATGATAATTTACATCGATATACATAATAATATTTTTTACAGTCTATTAACTGATGACAGCAACAACTAGAATAATGACAATTACACTATAATCATTGTTTGCATTACATTTAGGCCAGCCATATTGCCTAGAATATTCTGCACACAGAAAATATTAGCCAGGAAATATAAATTATTTTGTTTGGCTGATAATGATCATTAGAATTACTTAAATAAAAGATCAGTTTTGATGTTTCATAATTACGATGATATTCTATTTGCCAGTTTATAGAATTTATATTTTGATTTTTTTTTTACCACTTGGGGGCAGCAAGAGAATCTATAAACACAAGCTGACATCTTTTAAAGGTCCAGGTCAGACACTCAGATAAGCCGCTCAGCCTTACAGGGAATTTTTCCCAGTGGCCACCATTCTAAAAGAGATGTCTGTAAAACTGTTGATAGGACACCCCAAACTGCAAACAAGGTTAGTTATGCCTCTTTCTATTATGAAGTTTTGTAGCTTTAATATTTGTTAAACTTTCCTGCAGCCAGGAAAAGCGATTTAAAAATCTGTGATGTCATCACAATGTAAAGTCTATGGGGCGAGTGGGAGCTCACGGGCAGGGCCAGTGGGATAAACACTACTGTGCATATTCAGTTGGTTAGATACAGCAGAAGTAAACCCTATAGCTAGAAAACTTTTTTGGCATATGCACCAGGTGAGCAGCTCCATCTTGGGGTCTGGTATCTAATTATTATTAAAATCTATGGTCCAGTGTGTCAGATTTAGTGGCATTTAAAGGGAAATTTCGGTTTATTTCAACCTGTCTCCTATCGTCCTAAATTTGTGACTAGTGACATAAAAATAATAGTCAGCATGTTAGCCGTTAGCCTAGATACAGCCGGGGCACATAGTAGCGTCAGACCTGTTAAAACGTAAGATAACGATATGAGGCGGTCTTTGTGGAAAAAAGCTTGTTTAGTGGACTAACTTTGCACTTGAAGGGTGCCTGTTCACTTACTTTTAACAGGTCTGACGCTACTATGCACCCCGGCTGTATCTAGGCTAACGGCTAACATGCTAACTATTATTTTTATGTCACTAGTCACTTGAAACAAATTTAGGACGATAGGAGACAGGTTGAAATAAACCGAAATTTCCCTTTAATTGTGAGGTTGCAGAACTGAAACTGTACGGGAATGGTGGTAGTTGTGAAAATGCGAGTGGTGCTATCTAAAGCCAGTGTTTGGTTTGTCTGTTCTGGGCTACTGTAGAAACAACATGGAGGACTCTGTGATGAAGTGGACCCACTCCATATGTAGGCTAGATATGAACAGCTCGTTCTAAGGTAAAAAAAAAAAAAAAAGAAAAACAATTCGTTTTAGATCATTGCACACTAACGAAAACATAGTTATGAATATTATATTCCGTTTCTGCCAATATATCACCCTAAGGCCCAGTTCAGACTACAGGACATTTTTGTCTGTTCCAATAGTCACTATGTGAAGCATAGGTGATTGTGGGGTCATGACATCATGCCATGACTTGGCCTACAGACATGACAGACTACACGTTGGTCCACACCCAATTACCCCTGGTTGTCTGTCATGACGTGTGTGATGTCACAGGATTATTCTTGCCCTATTTCTATTAATATAGCTATTATTTCAGTCACTGTGGCTGTTTATGTCTACAACTGTTATTGTAGTAATGTAAAAAGCACCTTCAGATGGAAGGAGCTACATTTGAAGTAATGCAAACATGTAAGTCACTGAATCCTCCACAAGTTCCTGCAAATGTTTCACAATAAAAGCCTTTTTAGGAAATGAAGGGATTCTCTCAACCAAAATTATAATGGGCTTTTAATGTTAAATGGATACAGGAAGTGTTGAGTTTGAAATGACGGCGCAATGCATTAAATTTAACAGGGCAGACAGGAGTGGATTAAAAGTAAAAATATAAAAACACAGAGGGAATAATAAATAACGGCCTGTTTATAATGTAGTCTGTTTGAAATGAAGCTGGTAGCCTCTGCAGTTGTGGTCAGTAAAAGCCACTTTTTTTTTTAGAATTGTATTCTTTTATAGTCTCCATTATGAAGAAATAACATTCTTTGCTGGCCTGATGCTAATGGCAGTACTCACCAGGTTGCTAAAATGCCTCTGCTGTTTCAAACCATAATTTTTCCGTTTTTACTCTGTGTGGTAACATCCCTAGAGGAAATATCTAAAAGGCTGAGGTGTTGTTGTCATACACTTGTCCACGGCAGCAGATTGCTCTGTGTTTCTATTGGTCTCAGTGATGGCTGTGACAGAAGAAGTCGTGAATGACAAAAAGAAAATCAAACATGTAAGACTTTCTGTCAGGACGTCATGAGGCATCCCAGACGTGGAGTCAATTGTCACCTACTATGGCACATTACATTACACAACATATTCTAAATTGAAAATTAGAATAATATTCTAGGGAACAGCATGTGATTCCATGATGCACCATTTTTGTCCCACCAATGTCTTTTTCATGCATATTTTCAAAGGCCAGATGCATCCCAATAGCTTAGCCCAGGAGCCAGTCAGGTCCTTTGCACTTTTGTTTCAGATTTTGAATAGAATAAGGGGTGGATCAAAGAACTCCTTATGCAATATAAGACTCACAGTACATGTAAAAAAAAAACATTTTGGAGAAAACAGGCAGGTAATCTTTATGTGCCTCTGATAAAATCTGCAGAAAAATACAGATCCAAAGTGAAAAGTGAACCTGACAAATTCAACAGAATAAAAGAAAAAAAAACAGAGCACAACCAGTGGAGAGTCTTTTATTCATAGTCTGAGCTACCTGAGAGATGATCAGGGTGTGCAGCCGTGTTAGACCAATGAATTCAGCTGGTAAAGTTGCATTTGATGTCCTTTCACATTTGGTGCCTACCCACACTGAGTTACACAATAACACAACTCTTTAATATAGGTAAATGAAGCTGTGATCCAGAGGTTCAGAATGAAGATTAAACTGAGAAACCAAGTGGTAAAAAAAAAGGCCCCAAGCAAGTGTATTTTAAATGTGTGCATTCCTGCAGATATTGTAATTCCTCTCATCTCACCCCCTCCTAATGACTCCTGAAACTAGGCTTAAGAATTATGTGTAAGTGAGACTTGACTGTCTATTCATTTTTTTGAGGCTCGAGGAGACCTGCTGTACAGCAAGTTTTGGGCCATTTATCAAAAGATGAAAGGGTGAGGAGGAAGCTGAAGAGAGGAGGATTCAGGAAAGGCTCTCTGTTCTTACGTCTTTCGTTGACACATTAAAAGAGTAAGAAATGTTACACTGTGAGAAAAGAAATGCACTAGTGCAAGGAAAAATAATTTTGTGTGGAAAAACTTTTTAGGTAAAAAAAATGTATTAGAAAGAAATTTATTAGCAGCATTGTTACTACTCAAGTGTGCCTTGGAATGGTCACAATAAAAGGTCGTTAAAATGTGCAGTTTTATTTTATTTATTATTTCACATAATTAGCACTATAGAGGTGCAGTTTTTGTCACAGGTACCCCAAAGAATTAGTTTCTGGTGTGACCACAATTTGCCTCATGCAGTGCGACACAAGTCCTTCACATAGAGTTGATTAGGTTGTTGATTGTGGCCTGTGGAAAGCTCACACACCCTATTGGCAGGAACTGGAACATGCTGCTGCTGACGCCGACTCAGAGCATCCCAAACATGCTCAACGGGTGACATGTCTGGTGAGGACAACACATTCTCATCCCAACTTGTCAGATATTGCTGTTTTGTCAGTGGACTTTCATGTCTACATATTACGTGCTAGGTGTCCTCCAATGTTTGTTGTTGATGTTCTGGGATACCGTGTTAATGTACTTGTTACATGTATTGTGTCTATTCAAAGATTTACTTATGTTTTCACAGGAAATGTACAGTTTCTACTCATAGATGCATAAAGTCTTTTTCAAAATAAAATAAAATTGTTGGTAAAACACATTGTATTTACTATTTTCCTTGTGCAACAAAAGCACATGGTTAGGCAGCAGAAGCATGTGGTTGGGTTTAGAAAAAACACATCATTGTTTGGCTCTACATTCACACAGGAAGTAAGCAGAGAACTCCCAGGTGAAAGTCCAGTGTTTGTTGGATCTTCAAACTGATGCCACCCAGTGGTGTATAATACCAACATTGTTACCAGTATTGTTTCAAGTAGACGCTGTCTGGCAGCATTATAGACTGACGCAGCCCACCAGCATATCAAACTACTGCAAAAGGTGCCTTTTTGCATCGCTGTCTAATGCCGAAATCATAAAACTGCAGTATTTGGCAGCTTAGGAATGAGAATGGGCTGGTGAGGATGACCACTGGTACCTGAGAGCTCCATTACCAGCTGGCAACTTCAGTATACAAGACACCCCATTACCCTGATGGAGGAGATGATCTGGACAGGTTACATCAGTCAAGTTAGAGCATTGCTTTGTGCATTATGTACACTCATTTTTGATCTCCATTTCATTTTCTATGAATAAGCTGTTTTACTTTTGGGAAGGGGTTTTGTTATTTTTAATTCAGAAGTATGGATCTTGTGGTATTAGAGAAATACATCATGTTTTTTGACATTTTTTTTTTACATATTTTGGATATCTGGCAAAGTAAAGTGCAGCTATAAACTCTGTTATGGCCTGTGTCCACACAACGTGTTTTTCTTCAC